TCTAGTTGCCCGCCAGTGAAGGGGTCAGTCTTTAGTGGTCAGGAGGAATTTCTTCCTTATCCTGGATCTTGGGCCTTTGCATTTGATGTTGAATCTAAGGATTCAACCTTTGGGTTGATGGTCTTCCCTGTAAGAGTTCTTATGTATGTGTCTATTTTAATGGAATTTTAGTGGCAGTTCCACATCATCGGTTGGGTTGGAAAGTAGAGTTAAATCTTAACTCTGTCTCCTAAGATCAAAGAACTAAGTGAGAAAAGAGATGCACTGGGATCTGTGTGACCTCACAGCCATTAGTCCTCTATAAGCCTCAGTTTCTACATGTTTAATTTGAGGAACAACAATGCCTACTTTGAAGTATATGTGGTACATATATGCAAAGGAATATTATTCAGGCATAAAGAAGAATAAAATTATGGCATTTGATGGTAAATGGATGGAACTGGAAACTATCGTGCTAAGTGAAATAAGCCAATTGCAAAAAAAAAAAAGGGGCCAAATGTTCTCTCTGATATGTGGGTGCTAACCTACAACAAGGGAGGGTGGGGAATGAAAGAATAGAAGTTCATTGGATTAGACAAAGGATGATGAAGGGAAGGGAGGGGGGATTAGAGTAGGAAAGACAGACATGACTTTCCTATGTTCATATATGAACACATGACCAGTGAAACTCCACATCATGTACAATGACAAGAATGGGAAGTTATAATCCATGTAGGTATAATATGTCAAAATACACTTTACTGTCATGTATATCTAAAAAGAATAAATTAAAAAAAACAGGTAGTGGTTGGTTAAGTGCTTGCATCTGGTAGGTTTTCAATAAGTATTGACTATGATTATTATTATTGTTGTTATCCATTTATTGTGAAATAAAACAGATGTGGAAAATGGCCCAAACAAATAAATAGCTCTGTGGATTATCATAAAGCACATACATGCTTGCAAACACCACTAAGGTCAAGAAATTGAGCTTTGTCAATCACTCCAATTTTCTTTTTCATGTGTTTCAGTTCAAAGTCAGTCTGGTAAAGTAATACATTTAGCGTATTCCTTTAAGATTTTAGCTTGGGATATATTTAGCTGGAGGATGCCCCAACTGTTAGACCTCAAGTATAGCTGTTAAGGAGGCAGTTGAGTATATAAATATGGAATTCAGGGAGCGACCAAGATCAAGGAACAAGTATGGGCACGGTCAACATATAGGTGGCATTTAAAGCCATGGAATTGATGAGGTTACCTAGCACGACCAGCTAGGTGGAGCACAAATCAGGAGTCTAGTTATCACCCGGCTTTGTCCTATAATAATTAGGTAGATATTGATTTCTCCAAATGACCCCTTTCAACTATGAAGTGCCATAAGGGCATTCTTTTTCAAGAAAGCTGTTTTCTAACTACCACAGAATATCAGAAACTTTGCTCTTAGAGGAATTAATAACAAGATATCCCATATTGTCTGGTGAATATAAATCACTTTGACACACATAGGCAGAGGCTCAATTTCCAGGTCAGGTAGAGGACATCAGATAAAGGGTGTTATGAAAGTCTCTCTTAGATACTGTGTCACACATGAACTTTTGGGGGACACTTCATATCTAAACCATAACATGGTGACAGGGTGGGGATAGATGAGATAGAGGAAAACTCTTAGAGGATGAGTGAGTTACACCATGAACAATTAGAATTCAATGCTCTGGGGATACTCTGAGAGATGGTGTAGAATATACCTCAGTATTGTTCCACAAAGGGACATGGGAGCGAGTGTATCTGTCTACACAATCCTGGCCCTTGATTGAAGGTCATTCTTGGGAGTTGAAACTCTCTAGCATTTCTGGTGAGCTGGCATGTACTTGTAGCTCAGGCAGAGTGATGCTTTTTATGTGTGTGTGTGTGTGTGTGTGTGTGTGTGTGTGTGTGTGAACTTTCTGTGGGTGACCTTCAGAATAGTCAGAGGGGATACGGCATGGCACCATAGTGGGTGCTACAATTTTGTGACCTTATTCACTTTCATGACTTTCAAATGGAGATTAGAGTACTGAACTGCACTGGTTTAGTGGGAAGTCTGAGTACATTAAAGTTCATAAAGTGTGTTTTAGCTAACTTTTCAGTGCTGTGACCAAAGAACAAGAACAACTTTCAGGAAGAAAAGCTTATTTGGGCTCATGGTTTCAGAGGTCTCAGTTCATAGACAGCTGACTCCATTGCTGGGGCTCAAGGTAAGGCAGAATATCATGGGGTAAAGGCCCAGAGGAAGCAAGAAGCTGCTCAGCTCATGACTTGGTCAGAAAGAGAGGAGGAGGACGACAAGGAGGAGGGAGTCAGTCCATCCTCAGGGTCTTCAAAGGCATTCTCCCAGTGACCCACCTCCTCCAGCCATGCCCCATCTGCATGATCACTGTTGAGTGATCACTCAGTTAGTCCATTCAAACTAGGATGGGCTGATTAAGATACAGCTCTCAAAATTCAATCATTTCACCTCTGAATATTCCTGCAGAAACACAGGGGATGGCTCATAGCAAAACCATAAAAAGTGCCTATTATAGTCCCTGGAACATAGTTAATGTCCATAAATGATAGCCTTAGCGGCGATACATTAATGTGGGAAGACAATGACTCTTCCTCTGTACCTGACTTAAAATTTTCTTTTATCACTATAATTTGTGTTAAAGGAGACAACTGACTGGAGTCAGAATATGCAATCTGTAGCTTTGGGATAGAGATTTTTCTTTGAAGCATCCCACTTCTGTGGGAACAGAACCCATTTTATATCAGATTATAGAGTCAACTAGCCTAGCAAGATACAATTATTTTCTCACCAGTAAAGCTTTTGCCAATAGCTTGTGTGTTTTGTTGCCCTGTAGGGAAGTAAAATTTCCACAGGACAGAATTTGCACCCGTGAAAAACATTTACCAGGTTATGCTGAATCTCAGCGTATATCCACGTATATCCATGTTGACATAGATGCCAAACTGATTGTGTTTTATTTTACCATTGATCTAATCATAGATATAATCATGCCCTTAGTATATCTCTGTATGTGCTTGCCTAGAGGAAAATGGAAGGGGAGTAAAAAAGAAACAGAAATCTGCTCATGTTGGAGGTGGGAATATAAAAAATAATAAGGGAATTTAGTGAACAGTCTCTGTCATGAATGAAGAATTGAGTTTTATTCTTTATTTGAGATGGGTGGAGCAGAGTGTGGCCAATGTTGTTTATAATTTGAGAGGTTCCAGGAGATAAGGCATGAGAGGGATGGGTTGTGTGCTGTCCTCACCCCTCCTGGAAGATGGAATTAGAATCAGGTAGGTGGAAGTCGAGTCTCTTGGTCAAGACCCAGGGGACGAGAGAGGGTTGTGTGTGCCCTATAGAGGCACAGGAGGTGGCTCCTTCCCCCTCTATGTGTTATTGGGATCCAATTTTGTTCAGCCATCAGATAGCTGTTCCTCCATCTTGGAAAAGATGGTCTAGTACCAGGGGAGGAATAATATCTAGTCCCTGCCAATAGCCGTAATCCTTCTGTATTTCCTAAGATTGATTTAGAGTGGCCAAGCGGTCCAGAGGTCTGATGGGGATCTTAAGAAATCTTTTCCTTTGTTAAAGAGAGATGGAGGAGACAAGGTTTGCCTGAGTTTTCCTCCTGATTTTGGATTGGGGTTTTGTGAAGACATGATGTCTGGCACTGTGGAAAAGATTACGAGACATTAAGAGGACATCTTCATAGGATGAAAGTAAGAAAGTAGAAAGATGGGAAAATCCTGTGTCCTTTTGCCCTGAGATGCTGAATCAAACTTGGGACTCATTGCTTCTACCTTCTTTTACTATGAAACGCCTAGAATTTAAGCCACTTTTGATAAGATATTCTGTTACTAAAGCCCAAAGCATCTTCATTGAGAGAACTTAGGATAAAGAATAAAGTTTGGAGGAATAACAAGACCCTGATGTTAGGAGCAGGGATCCATAAAAGAGAGCCAGGCAGAACTGGATCTCCTGGAGAGGACTTTGAATACCTCTGACTGTGGGAAGGGATGGACTCTCATCCATCAGGAGGACTGGCAATATTCCCAACTGCCCAAGGGTGGATGAAAGCAGGAGTAGAACTTTGTTGAGGTGTTGTGGACTGTTGCAGCCATGGGAGGAAAGTCTACAGTTCCATCTATGGGAGACAGAGGAGTCAGGGCCAACAGGGTATTTCAGCCCTGGTAGCTAATGGTGATGTAGGAAACAGAGGCATTGGAGCCAAACAGGGGTGTTGGAGCCCTGCCACTCATTTGATATAAGCTTCAGTTTCCTTAGTTATAAAATGAGGAAATTCATATCTGCCCCACTGGATTACTATATGGGTTAAGATATACTAAGTCCTATAAATTCCCTAGGATATAGTGGTATTTCAAATGATAGCTATTGCTAAGTAATAGAGATCTACAGAGATAACAAACATACTTTATAACCTTTCGAGACATAGTCTGTTGCTGTTGGATGAGATGGGGCCAATTTAAGACTTGCTAGGGTCATTAGGTGTCAAACTACTCTAACTAGTTTTCTAAGAGAAGACCCTGGGGATGGAGTTTCTGGAAATGATTTCTTTTCTTCCTATAGAAGTATATTCAAAACAACAGACGTGTGTTTTGGGTGGGAGACATTAATGACGTTTTTCCTTGAGCAGGGAGGAAGGTGAATACCCAAGATGTGTAGGGCCAGCAGCATCAGGAAAGTTAGAGATAGGTGGGATTTCTCAAAGCACACGGAATACAAATGTAAATAACCAGAGCTTCCTGCTCACGGATGTGAGGTGGGAGATGAACCAAAATAACCACTTCTGGAGAGTGGGAGACTCTGAGAAGCCACCCCTTCTCCCCTAGAGTTCCCTCCTACACGCCCACTCTAAGTAATTTCTAAGTCTGTGATAATTCACAGAAAGAAGAAGAATAGGGAGTTGCTGGCGTTTGTAGTAACAGGATGAGAAAGTGCGAGACTTCCTGTTATGTGCGTGTGACAGCTGGTGATAAGTGGAGGGCCCTGCACAGGAAATCCGCTCAGCTTCTGCAATGTGACCTGCCTGAAACTTGGGCGCTCCTTCAGTCAGGATGTCCATGGCGGGACAAAGGGAATCCTGGACCATGGGCGACGTGGTAGAGAAGAGTTTGGAAGGGCCCCTGGCACCCTCTACAGAAGAGCCCTCCCAGAAAAGTGGAGAATTGGTAGAAATCTTAAATGGGGAGAAGGTGAAATTTGACGACTCAGGACTGTCCTTAATTCTTCAGAGTGGCCTGGAGACCCTCCGAGTGGAAAACGCTCTGACAGATGTCATCTTGTGTGTGGACATTCAGGAATTCTCCTGCCACCGCGTGGTTCTTGCTGCGGCCAGCAACTACTTCAGGTCAGCGCGCCTGGAACCAGAGCCAATCTGGGTGCAGGTTGCAAAGAAAATCAGTGTTGATGTGAAAGCCCAAGCTAGCTAGTTTGCTTTCACATTTATGGCTTATATACATCTATTGAGGTTTGTGTGTCTACTTAAAAGTACCAGAAAAGGAGGTATTGAACTTTAGATTTTAGGATGTAGGCCACATTTTGAGAGAGACTGGCATCATTTAAAAGCATGTTTATATATAATTGTGAACTTTCTGTGTATATGTATGTCCTTGTTCCAAAGGATGGGATATGACTTAAGTCCTGGGGATTTTTTACCCTGTCTTTGTTCTGACTAACATGTTGGAAAAATAATGATGTCTTTATTCATCAACAGAAATAGAGAAAAAGGATGTGGCTCCTCTTTTGAAGTTAGCGAGTGAGTGACTTGCTCAAAGTTAAGAGCCTTTTTGGGTGTATGCAGGAGGTAGTGGGAAATTTAGAGCAAAAGGCTCTGGTTCCAACAGATCTGTGGTCTCAACAGTGGAGGACCGGGTGTCAGGAGACCTGGGTTCCATTCTATTTGATCTCCTCTTGACCATGAGACTAGACGGAGGGGAGTCTCTTAATGTTCTGAATTTGTCACCTGTCAGATGAGGACAATGATGATTACCTCTCAGGATTCTTGCAATATTTAAACACGAGGGTGAAAAGAGTCTGACAGAGTGCCTGGCATATGGTGGACTCTCATGTATCTTCATTGAAATTCTTCACCCCATTCTGCTTTATTCTGCTAAGAATTACTTTTTGAGGGTTTACCATGAGTAAATCCCTGCAGTAGGAAAGTGGGAGAATCAAGAACCCAGTGAACACAGCTGGATCCAGTGTTGTCCACGTGAACAGGGACTCAGGCAGGGAACCAGTCCAGGAAGGCAGTGTGAATGCAGAAGGTATTTTGGGAATGTGAAAAAGAAATACCTTTATCATTTTGCTTATCAAGATTCTTTTTAACTCTGGCTGAGGAAATCAAGTATCCTGGAAGGCATTTTATGTTTTTATTTTTTTGAGGTACTTAGGGGAAAAAAATGTCTCTCTGGAATTCAAAGAGCAGAATTGGCTGGTTGTTGTGGGATAGAGTAGCTCCCGTATGTTGATAAGGTAAGGAGATAATCTTGAGTTTGTGGAAATTCATGCCTGTTATGCACCCGGTAGACATATTTATCTGAATTTATTTTTGTAGTGGTATGATGGAGATAACTGATGTCCCCTTTTACAGATAAGGAAATAGAAACCCAACATTTTATATCTGGTCATTATTGCAGCAGGGAATCTGTACATTCTAGAGGTCCTGGTTTTTAATGCAAGTTTTGGGCTTCTTTTCACAGGAAGCCTAGAAAGTAGAGTGCAGTCATAGCCATAAAAATGCGTTGACATAGATAATCCAATAGTATCAATCACTTGCTTTCACAATTGATCACAGACCTTCTGTGGGTGAATGAAAGCTAATTTTGCTCAATGCCCTGGGTACTTGTTTTAGAGTCATTCTTTCTGTTTTGAGTCACTGGGGAAATGCTAAAATAAAATGTATACCTGATTAGTAATTTTGTTAATGGGTCAGCCTATGGGACAGGACCACTGGCTGTGTGCCCTCGGCACATCACTGCTCTCTTCTAGTCCTTGGATTTTATTCTGCTAAACAGAAGGTGTCTGGGCTCAGATCCTTCCAGCCCTGTTGATCGAGGACACTTAGGGCAAGTCTCTGCCAGTCCTCAGAGGAGGTGGTGGCAATGAGAAGTTGGAGGCACACAGGGATGAACTTATCTCTCCATGTATGCAAAGTTTTTCCCAAACTGACTGGTCATGAGGGGAAATGCCTTCTAATCTTCAGAACAGTGACTTTAGATCTAGGGATTTCCAATGTGGCTTTTCTTCTGTAATGAACACAGATCTGGAGACAGGATTCTTTTTTCAGTACTACTATTAGTAATGGCTTCTTTTTGTTGAACTTTTGTGTAGGCCGGCCCTGTACCACCAGTGTCACATACACTAACCCATTTAATGGGAACAACAATGCAGCAAGGTAGGGATTTCATCCCCATCTTACAGAGGAAGAGCTTAATAAGAAAGTAGCCAAGTTAGGCTTTGGAACGAAGACTGAGATTGAGTCTGACACTGCCTCCCTGCCTCTCCTGCTGTTTCTAAGGTTTTGAAAATCATCTGGAGCTGGGTTCTTCTTATATTCAGACTTAAGAAGGCCAAAGAGGCTCCCCTCACACAGCCTTCTGTGCTTTGGGAGGGTTTGGAAGCTGGCTGTAAAATTATATAGGCTTTTCCCCTTTTGTTTCTTTGAGAAAATAAACACTTTGCTCTAAATGGCTGACTATAGTTTACTTAACCAGTCCTACACTGACAGATATTTGGTTTGGAATCTCTTGCTGCTGTGGACAATGTTGTAATGAATACTCTTATGCATGTGCCATTTCATATGTGCGCAAGTGTATCTGGGGATGCACTTCTGAAGATGGTTGCTAAGTTAAATGCATCTGCAGTCATAAGAGATTTGGCCAACTTCTGTCGGAGACAGGTTGAATCACTTTACATTCTCCATGACTTTACCAAAAGAGAGTAGTATCAAACTGTTGAACTTTTGTATTATACACTGACAACTTAGAGCTGTATATATTTACAGGATATAAAAGATGTTATGATTTTTTAATACAACGAAGAATGACCAAATCAAGCCAATCAACCCAACATCACCTCAACATTTAACATCTTTTGCAACGAGAACATTGAACTGAGGTTTTGTACCTTTTGATTATCATCACCCCAAGTTCTTCAGCCCCAGCTCTGCCATACATCATTCTATTTTCTGCTTCTATCAGTTCAATCGTTTTAGGTTCCACATTTAAGTGAGATCACATGGTATTTGTCTTTCTGTTAAACCGTTGAATTTTTGTCAGTTGATAGATGAAAAAGAATATCTCAATTTAGTTTTATTTTTGCATATCTCTTATTTTAATAAGGTCATGTGTTTCAGGGTGATCTGAAGTTCTTCTTTTGTGAACTGTGTCTTTATATTGTCTTTCAAATTATCATGTTTACTTTTAAAAATTAAAATTCATTTTTTTTATCAAAGGTATGCAAATAGTTAACAAAAAGTCAAATAGAATTATGAAAAACAAAAATTCTTCCTCACTACCTCTATCCTTCAGTTTTACTCACCAGAGGCCACCATTTTCAACTTCTTTTTTTTCTATTTTATCTCTATATTTCTTTCTTCTCCCCCCCCCCCACCCCCGGCCCTCATCCTCCGGTGTCAGGGATTGAACCCAGGGGCGCTTAACAACTGAACCACATCCCCAGCCCTTTTTTAATTTTTTATTTTGAGACAAAAATAAAAATTTTCTAAATTGCTTAGGGCCTTGCTAGGTTGCTGAGACTTGTTTTGAACTTGCAATTCTGCCTCAGCCTCTCAAGCCGCTGGATTATGGGCATGTGTCAACAGGCCACTGGGCTTGGCTTATCTCTATATTTCTATAAAAATATACTTATGCTATTTCTTGATTTCTCAATATTAGATATCATTTGTTTATTTCAGATAAGAACATAGCATTTATACCTAACTCCCTTACCATACACTCCCCAATCTCTCTCTCTTTTTTTTAAACTTTATTTTATTTGTTTATTTTTTCAATAATCCAGTACTTCACAAGTGCTAGGCAAGTGCTCTACCACCGAGCCACAACCCCAGTCTTCTCTGTTGTCTTTTAACATAATGTCATTGTAAACTTTTTGCTGAATCTCTGTTGAGTTTACATGATCATGTTCGTGAATATAGTATTTCCTGTGGAGCCAAAAAATACAATATATTTCCTTCTTTGTAAAGTTTTTTTTAAAAAAAACATTTATTTTTTAGTTGTAGGTGGACACAATACCTTTATTTTATTTTCATATGCTGGTGAGGATCCAATCCAGTGCCCCATGCATGCTGGGCAAGTGCTTTTCCTCTGAGGCCCAGCCCCAGCCCCTTGTAAACATTTTTGTTTTGTCTGAAGTTACTAGTCCACTCCTGGGCTAGGGATGCAGCTTAGTGGTAGGGTACTTGCCCAGTATTTGCAAGACCCTGGATTTGATACCCAGTACCACAAAAAGACAAAAAAAATCCATTCCTTTTTCCATTTGCTTAGTTTTTTTTTTTCATTTTCATTTGCTTAGTTTTTGAAGTGTCCTTTTCTCACAGTCTCTCATCATGCTCTTTAAGAACCTACCAGTTCCATCCCCACCCCACCCCAAGTTCTCATATCCAACACATGTTTTCTGGACTTGCAGCCCAGCTATTGCCCAGCTGCTTCCCACCATCCCCCAAACTCTCTCTGACTCTGCTTTGTCATATAGAGCCTCTCTCTCTTCATCCCCCTCTCTTCTCTCCTTCTTACTCTGATGAAACATATCCTCCAATAACTTTTTAAGAAAGGATGTATGGAAGGTAAATTTTCCAGGCTTTGCATGTTGAAAAATATCTCTATTCACTTGATACAGAGATTGATAATGGTTCCCCAAAGACATCTATGTCTAATCCTGGAACTGTGAATATGCTACTTTAAACGGCAAAAGTCACTTTGCAGATGTGATTAAGTTAAGGATCTCGAGATGAGAAGATCATCCTCGATTGTCTGGCTGGGCTCAATGTAATAACCAATCCTTACTAGAGGGAGACAGGAGGATCAAAGTCAGAGTGAGGAGCCATGGCAGTGGGAGCAAAGGTTGGAGTGATTGGCTTTGAAGATGCAAGAAGGGCTCAAGGAATGTTGATAACTTCTAGAAGAAGAAATGAGCAAGAAAGCAGATTCTCTCCTTTAGCCTCCACAGGCAACATGGTTCTGCTGATCCCTGGGTTTGGGCTCAGTGAAACCTATTTTGCATTTCTGATTGCCTGTACTGCAAAACCATAATTTTTGTTTTTTCAAAAGCAACAGAATTGGGACTGGGAATGTAACTCAGTGGTAGAGCACTCACCTAGGATCCTAG